CAGAGTAACAGCTACTGACTGCCGAGCAGGGCTCTACAGTGTTAATTATCCAAGCGCGACCAAGGTTGCCTGCCGAACTTGGCGAGGTAATGAAACTAGGCTAGGCAGGGTGCCACACGCTCATTACAGTTCCCTAGCTCCATGCGGCAACAATCGCTTCCTATTAACCTGCATTGACAGGTTCACGAGATGGCCTGAAGTGATGCCTCTTCAAAATATGACCACGGAGTCGACAGCTCAAGCCCTCGTCCCTCTGTTGATTAGCCGCTGCAGTGTCCCTTCCGTCATTACGACTGACCGTGTTCACCAGTTCGAATCAACATTGCCAATATACCTCGACATCGCATTTTAAATCACATCAAGACTACCTCATGGCCAATGGAATGATCGAACGTTTTCATTGCCAACTGAAGGCGTCGTTTATGGCTTCTACTTTTCCATTATTATGGACTGAACGCCTTTCTTTCATTATGTTAGGCATCCGCACATCTCTTCATAGCGACTCCTCCATAAACTTCGCTGAGCTGACATTTGGCACCACTTTTCAAGTTCCTCGTGAATTTATCTGGGACTCGCCAATAGTACTTGTAGACAATTCTGACTGCACATACCATCTACTTTTTGCTATGCATACCTTGGTTCCTCAAGAACAACAACAGGTAGTGTGCATGTCAGTCTTCACCTACAAACCTGCACGCACATTTTTGTGCAACACAATGCCATGCAACTTAGCTTCCATCTCCCTTATCTATTGAAGGTCGTGGACTGTACACTTAAACACTCATGCTTGCTCATCAATGACTGCGAAGTTACAGTTTTTGTCGATCATCTCAAGACTGCACTTGGACATCACAGGTATCTTGCTATGACTTTGAACTGCCATACTCGCCGCATGCATTTCGCAGCGCAACACTCTGCGTCTGGCCACCTGTAACATACGTGTGACTTCATCACAAGAACGGGGGCCCTGTAGCACACTAGTGCAGGCTACAAGAATCCGACCAAAGCAAGACTACGCAACAAGCATGAGATCGTTGTGTCTGTTCTTATTGTGTCTGCAAAAATAGCTTAAGATAAAATACATAGTTTGTGGTATTGCAGCATCGACATCTGTCTCCCTGTTTCTACACGTCACAAGAGTATCACATGTTGCCAAGCTCTTCAAGTAGGTTCTTGGCAATTTTTACCCCACTTACTTCATCAGTATATTTATGTGTACTGAGAACTTGAGCAGCGCAAAAGTACTCATTTCAACGTCGATTGATCAGTGCTAAATTTATCAATGCATGTTCATGTTGTGAGATAAGATGTGCTGGTACACAAGTATGTTACTGAAAGGGACGCTGAAGAGAAAGACAATTTTTTGCCTGTTACTAAAGTGCAGTTCCACAATTCTGAAAATGTCACTCATATCGCGAAAAGATGCTTGGTAAGCGATTGTAGGTTCAAAAAGAAAATGCAGGCGGAGACGGCACCTTAAGATTCCCGCATCAAACACCGTGATGTCATAGATTTTGGCAGCCTCTACCAGCTAATATTTAATTGGTTAAAATGCACTACATTATCATCTGTGAGTGCCATAGACCTAACATACAATGTTTTAGAAAATTTCAGCATGCCAATGTAGCGAGAATACATTTTGAAATCAGTGACGTCTCTACAGAGGTTTTAATGGGAAATATAAAAGTGAAACTTCAGCCTTGATTTTCTTTTATACTAATGATTTTATGATTGTGAAAGTTCCATCATAGTTCTCAGAGTACAGTTTATTCATTTAAACCAAGTCATTGTTTTCACTATATTGTCCCTTACCCACGAGTGCATGTTTAGTGTGTTTCTTGCATTGATTCGGCTCCGTGCTGCAGTAGCAGTCTTCTAGAGTGCATCCACTTAGCACTTCTCTACGCACTACCCGCACAGCCGCAACGCACGTGCCGGTACTTCTGCCGTACCCAAGCAGGGGGCAAATGAGCAAATCGGCGATGGTCTTTCACCCTCCGCTTGGGTGCGGCAGGGGTCCCGGCACGTGCGTTGCGGCTGTGCAGGTAGTGCGTGGAAACGCCCGTTGACACAGCTTAACTTTTTCAGGACCGCGCCCATAGGCAGTCGATCACACGTGATCGATGGTTTCGCGCATCTCCAGAATAAAAATTTTTGCTCAATGGAACACCTGCCGTCATCTGTGAGATAGTTTGTTAACTATAATTTTTTATTTTGTGAAGTTTGCTTTTTTATTGCCAGGCGGCGACGCGTCAGATATTTTTTTTTGACAGCGCGGCGTCGTCGACAGTAATAAACATGGCGTCGTGCTCGCGCGCGAGCACGATAAGAAAAACGCTTCCGCCTCGCGTATCTTCGGCTTCCACAGTAAATTTTAGCGATGAAAGCGGCAGTGATGACTCGGAATGTGAAGTTACGAGCTCAGATTTTACCTCAAGTGAGGATTCAGGGGATGATCAGCCGGGAACTTCAAGCGGGGCTGGAAGGTGAGTGTTGGTTTCGCTTTCAGTTGGCTCTCGAGTAGCTATGTGAACTCGGTATATGTTCTCGCTGATTTATATCTGTTCGCTAGACTGTCAACCACCTATGGTGGTGATCTCCTGCCACCAGTGCAGAAGCGGATTGAGTTTTCGCCAAGAAGACAGCCCGGTGTCTACCTGGGCGATGACGTCGCCATGGCCCTGAGAAGCGGGACAAAGAAGTTTTTGACTGCCCTGAATTTTTTTCTTCTGTTTTTTTCTGCGGAAGTTGTTGCAATGATTTGCGAAAACACAAACAAGTATGCGTGGACCCGCATTCTTGAAAAACCGACGCACTCGCGGCCAGATGGTTCGTGGGAGGAAGACACCCCCTGTGAACTGCTGAAGTTCATTGGGCTGGTGATTTACATGGGAATTGTGAAGGTTCCAAGACCTAAACTTTACTGGAACGTAGGAAGTCTTTATAGTAGTCTCCTTGCACGACGCATGATGCCCCGAAAGCGATTTATCGCTTTGCTAGCGCTCCTCCAAATTGCAGACTTGGATGATCCGCACCAACAGTCAAAAGGAAAGATGGGATACATGTGGTGGCTTCTTGAGCACATCAACCAAGTGTCAGCACAGCTCTTCCAGCCCAATCGAGATCTCTCCGTGGACGAGCGCATGGTAAAATCAAAAGGGAGGTCTGGAATTCTTCAATACCTAAAAGATAAGGTGACTAAATGGGGATACAAGCTGTGGGTGCTAGCTGACCCTGACACAGGATACACTGTGCAGTTCAGTGTCTACACTGGCCGCCGTGTGCAGCCGGGGCCTCATGGCTTGGCTATTGATGTAGTGTGCGATCTGTGTTCCTCATACTTTGATCAGGGATACAAAATTTTTATGGACAATTTTTACACTTCGACGCACCTCTTTGATTACCTCCTTGACCATAAAACATTGGCTTGTGGAACAATGCGCAAAGATCGCCGAGGATTTCCCAAAGAACTGAAGGAGCCACGTTGGGAAAAAAAAAGCCAAACGTGGGGACATTCGATGGATGCGAGATGGCAACATCCTTTACCTTCGGTGGAAAGATCGGCGCGTTGTAAATATCATCAGCACCATCCACACTGCCAACAAGAAAGTTGTTGCAAAAAGACGAGTGCGGAGTGGTAACACCTGGACTGAAGTATCAGTGCCCAAGCCATTGCTGATTGACGAATACAACTCTGGATTGCTGGGAGTAGATAAGTCGGATCAAATTATTGGTTACTACAACGTCTTGATGCGAAGTGTGCGGTGGTGGAAGACGTTATTTTTTCATTGCTTCGACATTGCCTGCGTGAACAGTTTTGTGCTTTTTCAAGCACATCGTGCATCACACCCGGAGATCCCTGAGCTCAGTCGAAAAGCCGGGTATGATCATCTGGCCTTCAGAGAAGAGCTTCTTGAGCAGATTTTTGGCTTTGATGGCAAACAAGCTCGATCTCCTCCACCACCCACTCCAAAACATGCGGACCACAAACCACAAAAAGTCGAAAAACGTAAGAACTGCAAGTTGTGCTACGAACGCACCAAAGTCGAGCTCAAAACAAACGTTTTTGGTGACACGTGCCAAGTTCACCTGTGTTTCACCTCAGTCCGGAACTGCTTCGGCGAGTGGCACACGCGTCGTGCAACGACAACCTAGGCACGTGTGCAAGTGCTGGTACCTAGTGCCAAAGGGCTCACACAAAAAAAACGTTACTCCTAGCCACACCAAACTTTTACGATCAAGAAAGAAAGCATTTTGCCACATTTTGTATATTCTCAAATAATTTTATTTTTGTTGAAAATTTGTGTTTACACTTTTTTAAACTTTTTTGTGTTTTTTTCTCTAAGTTCTTACTTTCAGATTTTTTCATTTGTTGTGTGCAATGTTTAGGTGAAACATTTGTTTTGTATGTTAAAAACCATTCAATAACCTGCATTTTGGTGTATGATAAAGTAGTGTAGTACTTTTGTTTCATACAATAAAAAATTTTACCCACACCTCTCTTTTTCATCCTTTTTTCGGGCGGTCCCGAAAGAGTTAAAAACTTTGGACCTGAAGCGCATCAGGCAGCCACGGCTAAAGAATATTCCCAGTCATGCACGCTCCCATTTTTTCCGAAGGTTACATCAGGGAGGAGCACGCAACCATTGGTGCAGGCTTCTGTGCATTCGAGGTCTAATGTACTTGCCTGTAAGTAAGCTCATGTGACATTGGGACTTTTCAAATATGTCAATTATTTTATCAGTAGTGAGCGGTGCTGCGCAGTCTAATATTCTGTATCAGTTTGGCTGAGTGTAAAAGGTTGCTGAGTGCACCCAAAGCAATTAAATTGTGTAGCGAAATTTGTAGTGGGAACGTTATTCTAAGATCATGGTCAAGGAAATGCAGATAAGCCAATGCATCAGTTGAAGGTGTCTGTGGGTCGATATGTTATTGTTTTTTTTTTTATGTTTTTGAGTGCACATACTTTTGTCACATGAATTGTTTTACTTGTGCACTAGGGGAGCTGATTGACATGGCCTGCAGCTTGTGGTGGGATACCTTGCCATTGAACCAGCTTTCCTAGCTTTCCTAGTGACTCTGCTGGTGTGTCACCAGCTGCGCAAAGACAAGAATAGCAAGGTGGTGGTTCCAGTCATCAGAGGATGGCCCCAAGGAACAGGAGGAAGGACTCTGGTGGATACTGTGTCGTACTAAATGAACGTCCAGGTCTGTGGTTGAAGGTTAGAAACCTGGAGACAATGCGTGGACCAAAGTAAAAGTTGTAAAAACACGCGGAAAAAATATGTTTCGACTCCAACACGGGAGCCTTGTTCACAAGAGAAATGAAAACATGTTAAGCAGTTCGCCTTATGTATGTTTGAATATATCACGCAGGCGGCATGCGTATACTGACGGCAGATTGCCATCATTCCTGTTTGAAGTGTGCGGAGTGGTTTATATCATGAGCTACTCAAGATAGCGAGAACACATGCCTTCCCCCAGTCGATTGTGTGACCACCTGACAAGGGCTCAGCCAAGGCACTGGATTTACGATTTCCTTTCTTTACGTCATGTGCTGCTTGAGGCACCGTTCAAAATCGTCATTCTTACCGATATACACATTGTCACAATATATTGATATACCGAAGCGAACTGCTTTACACATGTTTTTGCTTCACTTGTGAACAAGGCTCCCGCGTGAGAGCCAAGAGGTCTTTTTTCCATGTGCTTTTAAAACTTTTACTTTGGTTGTCGCATTTTCTTCAGGTTATTTACCTTCTACCATGTATCATCCCGACCAGACGGGCTTCCCCCTAATTTTAAACTTCTTCCAGGTCTGTTATCTCTGCAAGGGCATTTTGGGACGTTAAACCCCACAAATCAATCAATCTGCAAGGGCAGCTATTCAGCACGTTTAGTGCAGTGATATTGTGGGCTGAAAAATAAGAGGTCTTGCTCTTACTTGGCCACCCTGTTTTGTTTACTTCATGTGTCTCTTAGCAATGTATAATTAAACTGCCGGTGTCATTCTTGTCTGAAATGCAAGTTTGCACATTCATGCAATTGTTTAAAACTGAAGCCCTTCCACTGCATTATATTTCTAGCATAAGCTTTGGAAGCAGGCGAGCACTTATTAAGCATATATTGCAACAAAAAGCCATTTTGTTTGATGACTGTTTTTGTTTGCTAAGAATGTCTGCATGATTGAAGTACAGTTGAAGATTTGAGCATCCAAGTATAACAACTTTTTCTGCAAGCAAAGTCTGCCCTAAATCTTTTAGCTGTAAGCATTGAAGGTGTGGAGCAGTTTAGCTTATTACTTGCTGCCCCCATGGTGACTCTTTTGTTTCACTAATAAACCCAGTCCTGTGCTTAGTGCGCTGTTACATTGTACCCACAAACCTCTTAATCTCATCAGCCTGTGTAACTATCTGCCTCCCCTTTGCGCACTTTTCTTCTCTTGGAATCCACTCTGTTACTCTTAATGACCAGGGGTAATTTGTACTACATGCCCTGCCCTGAATATTTCACTCTACAAATTTCCTTTTCGTTGCTCACTGCATTGCTGTCAACTTAATTTGAACCCTCTTTGTAAGCCTCTATTTTTCTTTTCCGTTAATAAGCACGTACAAAATGCAGTCTTCTGCATATCTGTCAAGTAACCATGGAAGAGCCATGGTGATGCAGGAAACTCTCTTCACGAAACTGACCTATAGGCATATGGGCTCTCTTCACAAAAATGACCTATAGGCTTATGGGCCCTGCCACTGGGGGGTTTTCAAGTGAAGGTTTTATTTTGTACCTCATGATGCGAACTTATAAAGTCGGGAAACTTTAAATGCACCAATCCTACAGTTTTCAGGTCTATGTGCCCAAAACAACTAAGCTGTTTGCTTAGTTGTTCAAGATGAAAAAACTAAACAAATATGTCATGACGGTGCCAAAACACTTAGGTAAAATGTGTGGCAAGGAATTGTGTTAACCTATGCATAATTGTAGTGTCATACAAGTGTAGAATAACCACCATGCGAATTGAACAGTGAGTAGATGGTTGAATGCTTCCAACTCATTGCTAAGGAATTACTCGGCATGGGCTAGAGCGTGTTTCGAAAAATTCTTATAAAGTTGATCTATCAATCAGCCACCGCTCAAAGTGCACGTAATGTTTCCCAGGTGTGCAGCCACGCTTATCCACAGAAAGACATACAGTAAAAACTCTCTACAACGGGTCTGTTTACAACAGACAGTCGGATACTACATACCAATTGGTGCCTTTTGGCTGACCTCCCTTTTTGTTTCAATAATTGAGCTTCGTTTACTATGGATTTTAGTAAAACAGGCATTCGGATATAATTGACTAAAATGTGAGGCCAGCAATGTGGTCTGGGCACCTTTATAGCGTTCTTCGCTACTGCGGACATCCTTAATTCTATATCTTTGGACTTCGAACATCGCTTGGCATAGTTTTGGACAGGAATAGCGCTGCGGATATCGGCGCACCGGTTTAGGATGAAGGCCGCCAATCTTTGATTCATTAATGATTAATTATGCCGAGCTACGGCGACGAAAAATTGACTTGCATTGTGCTTGGTTTTGCGTGTTGAAGTGTGACGCGCAAAATTGCTGGCCGCTGCCACTGCTGTTCGGAGCGGTCGATGCGTGACCAGCTTGGCCGGGGCTCACAACTGACGCGCACGATACCTATTCGTGGTTCGAAGGACTGAGCGGCAGATGTGATTCGTTTGCTTGCGACGAAGCGCTTTACGGCTTATTCGCTTTCATATACATGCTAGCGCCACAGTCTTACCCACCAAGTTTGGGGTGGAGTCAGGCCTAGTCATGACTTCGAGCAGAAAGCGCAGCTGCGATGTTCATGGCTGCAGTGCCTGATGTTTCTAAGTACAACATGCTTGATCGTGAATACAAAAACTTCTCCCACGGTGGTCTTCGACACAACATTTGAAGCGCCGATACGCAAAACCTTACTGCCAACCAATCGACACTATGACAGTCAGTTCGAGATGCGCTTTTGCCATGATAGGGACGAGCGCGGCGCGCACTCATAATAGACTAAACTTTCGCTTGCGCCTTAATTGTACTTTAACTGAGGCATTTTGTATACTGAATTATTGTCGACCAGTGAACACAAAACAAGTGCGAAAACGACACTCAGTAGCTTGATTTTAGACAGTCGCGACCTCGCGATGTAAGCATCACACCAGCGAGGCTTACTGCATTAGCATGGCAGAAGCAGCCAATCAGAACTCTTCGAACATCTGCTTTTAGAAGCGAAGCTCTTTTGGGTGTAGGCTTGTCCAACATCATAGTAGTGATGGACCTCTGAGCTTTTCTGCTGCGGCGCGGCTCACATCAAGCAAAAACACGTCTTGCCAGATGAAAGGCTTTAATGGAACTAAAGAAAGAAAAAGATAAGGGTGAGCGGGCGCTGCTACGAGGCCAAGCGTCAGCTCGTGAGGAGGCTCAATAATGATGATGACTGCTATTCTGCTGCAAGGGATGAATAAAGGAAGTCACAACAGTCTCCCGCGCCGACAGATGACGCTAGGTGGCTTCCAATGAGTAGAGTAGCTGCACAGGATGCTTCACAACAGTGCCGTCGGGCAAGCGCAGAAAGCAAGTCCTCACGATGCCGTCACGTCCACCGATCAGTTCTTCTATGCGAACCAAGGTCCACAGTTGCCTGGGACAATGTTTTTCTCTGAGTAGAACTACATTGCCTTCCTTCAATATGTGATTTTGTTTTGCTTGGTTGAATGTGTAATTCCTGAGTTCATTGAGGTACTCCTTTAACCAACGAGACCAGAAAGTTTGCTAATCCTCTTCTCTCTTTCTCTTGCTCCAAAGTTTCTTCAGTTGATCGTTGGTCGACTCGGTTTTTATTTTGAGGTCGTAAGGTGGTAGCGTTGTCAGTCTTCTTCCAACGAGAAAATTTGCTGGAGATAGGGGCACGGCTCATCCACATCATTGTACCCATATGTTAAAGGCCGAGAATTTATTACTGCTTCCACTTCCGTTAGTAATGTGACCAACTCTGTCTGATTTACCAAACGTCGACCAAGCATTTTCTTCAAGCAGGTCTTCATAGATCGTACGAGTCTCTTATAAAAATCCGCCCCACCAAGGAGCACTCGGGCAATGAATTTCCACTGAATCTTCGAGGAAGAGAAACATGCAAGTACTTCGGGATGCCGAATTGTTCGCCAGAGCTTCTCTAGATCTTTGGACGTTTCGACGAGGGTTCGGGCATTGTCGCTGTACATTGTGTGACAGAGGCCTCGACGTGATACGAATCTCCGAAGTGCACAAAGGAAAGCCACCGTCGTCAAATCTTCAACAAGTTCCTAGTGAACGGCTCTTGTTACAGCACAAGTAAAAAGAGCGATGTAAGAGCGCTGGTGAAGATGCCCTTTGATGTAAAGTGGACCCGCAAAATCTACTCCACTTACAAGAAACGGAGGCGTTTGTTTACAACGATCCTGGGGCATACAAGGTGAAACTTGTTCAACTGGTTTAGACTGTAGGCGTTGGCAGATGACACACCGTTGTATTGTCTTTTTCACCAGCTGTCGTAATTGTGGAATCCAGTATTGTTCCCTTATTTGAGTCAGTGTGTCTCGTACTCCTCCGTGGAAGACTTTTTCGTGAGAATGATTGATGATTAAAGTAACGAGATGACAGTCTTTTGGTAGGAGGATTGGATGGCGAGAACCGTACGAGTCGTCCGTAATCTGAACTTTTCCTTGTACCCGAAGCAGCCCGTTGTTGTCAAGGAACAATCTTAATTGTCCAACTGGACTTTGAGAAAGAATTGGATTCTTGTTTGCGACGCAGTTGGCTTCGTTACCAAAGTGAGCTCTCTGTTCTACGCAAATCAAGTAGCACTCCACCTGTTGGATTTCTTCAGCAGACAGCTCCTCGAACCTATCGCTTTCCATGCTCAACTTTTTAACATAACGAAAACCCATGCCGTTACTCTTACAAGTTTTGTGAAGCTGCTGAACCGTTCGTTATCAAGCAGCGTTGGCATCGATGTTCTCAAGTTAACAGCGTGGATATTGATTTCTGGCCCCGTCTCGGCTGCCTCGAGTTTTCCGTTTTCGAGGTCAAGGTTTCCCCTAAATTCAGGCCAAAATGTATGAGACATGGCAAGCCATCCGGGTCCATACCACCACAACTGTGATTTACTCAGTTTGTGTACAGTCAAGCCTCGAATGAGCAAATCTGCAGGTTTTTTTTTTTCCGGGACAAAATCGCCATCAAGAATATTCTGTCGAATTTCTGATCTCCTGCGCCCTGTTCGGTACGAATGCCTTCCAAGAAACGGGGTCCTTGTGAATCCAGCAAAGGGTAATCTGGGAATCTGACCAAAATGTTACTTCACCAATGCCCAGGTCGCAGTTCTTGATGATGTAGGCATATAAGCGGGCTGCAAGTAAAGCTGACATTAATTCCAGCCTCGCCAAGGTCTTTAACGGTGCAACTCTCGTCTTTGCCATCAATAGTGTAGTGTGGACGGTACCACTTGAGTCGACGGTACGAAGGTAGGCTACAGCACCGTATGCTGACTCACTAGCATCGGAAAAGATGTGCAGTTCTGCCTTTTGATAAGCGCCTTCGCTGCCCGCTGCGAGGAACCTGGGAATACTGATCTCATGTAGCATGGCTACCTCCTTGCTCCATTTTTTCCAGACAGCTGACAGCTTCATTGGCATGGTGTCATCCCAGCCGAGGTTTTCCCTCCAGAGATCTTGTAGGAAGATCTTCGCCCTTACTATAAAGGGTGACAGAAACCCCAAAGGGTCGTAGATTCTTGCAACAGCTTGAAGCACAAAGCGTTTGGTAATTCGATGCTCCTCCATAAACTGTAGAATATCCTGGGGCCTAAGCGAAAAGGTATCCGTCTGTTTGTTCCAATAAAGTCCCAGGACTTTCAGAGGTCCAGAAGGTGAGCAAAGTGATTTTTCGGAAGACGTGATTCCTTGTACGAAGACGGCAGATACAACGGGGTCGTTGCTGGCCCAATTACGAATGTTCATTGAAGCATCTTTGAAGATTTCAATTATCTCTTTATGCATTTGAATAGCTTGTTCAATGGTGTCAGCGCCAATAAGAAGATCATCCATATATATGGAGTCTTGCAATAGCTGGGCTGCCGAAGGAAAGCGATTTTCTTCGGACCTGAAGTAATGCTTTAAGGTTGCAGTCAAAAGGAAAAGACTTGAAGTAGCTCCAAAGGGCACTCTCGTCATTCTACAAACTTCTGTTTCCGACAGTGCGCTATCCACTTGAGGTGAAGTCTTGAACCACAAGAAGCGAAGTGCATCTCTGTCGTGTTCTTGCAGGCCAATTTGAAGGAACGCCTTCTCAACATC